GTTTTGTTTGACAATACTTTAAATTAAATAAAACTAGCAACACATTACATTCTGTTTTATTTACTTTAAAGAAGGGAGACAAAATTATGCTTTTTGATACTGAGACTGGATGAGTAGATCTCGGCAAACTGCCGACTTCAAAAGTAGCTGGGTACCCCTGCCATAAAGGATATGTAATCCCTCCAATGAGTTCTGGGTCTGCTCTGGGGCTTCTGCTTAGTAAGACGTACCTGGAAATCCTCCAAAGCGAGGTGTCCAGGAGGCCTACTAACCAGTTACCCAAACCACCTGAGCTGACTCATTTTGATATGAGCAGTGGCTCTTCTTTGAGTTCCACTCAAATTACAGACCTCCTCACTCTATTTTTAGGGTTCAGGCCTGCCATCTTGCTTGTATAATGCTATATATAGATTCTTTAAACAGGTAGGTCAGTTGAGAACCGATTCTTATTTACAATGATGACCTCGGCAAGAGACAACACAAGTGGACATAAAACTGATTTAAAAAAATACAAGCAGCACAGACTAACATACATAAGACAAGGTCTGTTGCAGATGGTTCCAGGCATCTGCAGCAGAGAACTGGAATAAGGAGTGACCAAAGGAGGTAGGTTATGTGCTCTAGGTTGATGAGGTCACTAGAACGTGGAATACGATTTGGTTTGTGAATAGTCAGAAGTGATCGTAAGTAACCTGAGACTTCATGAATCAATGCATAAAAAATTTGTGTGCGCCAGGCTCCAAGCAACAAACCTGTTGACCATGTTAAACATGTCTGTATCTATCAAAACCAACAATGTGTGAAAGTGTGTGTAAATATACATACACCTTGCACCTGCCATTAGAATGTGTGGACACTACAGCCACACAAACTTTTCAGTCAACAGTTTCAAACCACAAAGTCCCAAATTCAATTCAACTAACTCTAACCTGACTTCAATACATGAAAGGAGCACAGAAACATGCATATGCAATTTAAGGTATGAATCTGAATATTTCTGTGTACTTTTCCAATTTTGTACAGAAACCAGTGGATTTGTCTGTGAGAATTAAGAAATGGCCATTTTATCAGGGAGTACAGATCACAGTGGTGTTTTATGAAGTTTCAGTTACAAACCGGATGGCCGTCCAGTTTAGAAAGAGTGGTGGCAGACCTAGGATTGAAAATACTGCCATTTTAGCAGGAGCAGAGGGAGTGAAAGATTTACATAGGTAAAACAAAGCCAAAGCAGGATTTAACTTTGGAATGCAGGACATTTATATGTTTTAAATGAGAGTTTGTTGTCAAGCCAGATACCAAGACAAAATCAATCTCAATACTGTGCAAGGAAGAGATTTTAAAGGGGCTCTCAACGTGTGGTAAGTTTCTGGTACAAACAACAACAACATACATTTAGTTTAGTCTCTGTTCAAAAGCAAATGCAATGCAAAAGCTTGTTGGATTGAAGTTAAACTAGCCTACAGTGAAGACAGAGGAGTAGTGAGGGAGGGACTAGAGGTATGGATGATGGTATCATCAGCATATGCAATGTGAACATGAGAACCACCTACTACAAGTGGAATGTTATTGATATTAATGCAAAAAAAAGGAGTAGGGTCTTATGACCTTAGGTGAGAGTTGGAATGTAAACAGACCAGTCAGGAGTTTTGCCTTTCGACTCAACTTTCTTTACCATGATGAACTGAACACCCCCATTATTGTGGGCAAGGTCCTGATCCGTAAAGCCATCACCTGCTCTATCCTACCATCAAATGTGAACAAGACTTTTAGATCAAAAAGAATGAAGAACCCGTTCAGAGGACCTACTTATTTTTTTCTTTTTGATTGTTCTACCTGGATTACTGAGATGCACCAGGACAAGGCTTTTAGATATTTGAACTACTCTGCTTTAAGCAAAGACTCGTCTTCAACCCGGAGAGAGTATTCAACTTTTTCTGGTTTAGAACCATGTCTTCATATTTAGAGGAGCTGATTCACATCCCAACCGTTTCATTATCAGCTGAAAACRGACCCAATGCATGCTGAACACCATGGTTTGAGACACCAAATGAACTACATCATCTGCAAAAAGCAGATGTTAAATTCCAGACACTCTCCTCTCTATGATGTTGCCTTAAGATTCTGTCTGAACACCACAAACAGAATCAGAAACAAGGGAAATTCCTGCTAGAGTTCAACCTGCACTGAGATTGAGCTCTACTTTGTCTACTTTCTGCCTTGGTTATAGAAGAACCAGACACCATCCTATCCATCAGCTTCTGCTTGTTGTTGCAGGGGCAGCAGCTCAAGCAGGGAGGGCCAGACCTCTCTTTCCCCAGCCAACTCTTCCAGCCCTCCTGGGGGAATTTCAAGGTGTTCCCAGGCCACACAGAAGACATGGTCTCTCCAGTGTGTCCCAGGTCTTCCCCAGGATCTCCTCATTGTTGGACATGAAGCACCTCCTAGGGAGACAACCTTACCAGGACCTCTTGATGTAGAGGAGCAGCAGCTCTCCTCTCTCCTGGTTAACTGAACTTCTCGCTCTGTCTCTAAGGGAGAGTCCAGCTGCCCTGCAGAGAAAACTTATTTTGACTGCCTGTGTCGCAGATRTTGTTCTTAAAGTCACTACTCAAAGTTTGTGGCCAAAGTGAGGGTGGGAGAATGACTGACCGGGTAACAGAAAGCTTTGCCTTACAGCTCAGCTTGCTCTACACTACTGAAGACCGGTACAGAGTCTGCAACACGGCAGAAGTCTCTGAATCCCACGCTCAATTCTTCTTTCACCCAACATTGAGGTGAAATACAGTAAATACAGTACAGTCAGTACCTCTCAACTTCACACAAAAGCTCAGGCTCCTTCCTCACCAGAGATGTAATGTTCCATGCCCCAAGAGCCAGTGTTGGTAAGCCAGGGTCAGAGCCCCAACGTCCCCATTTTTGTCTGCCGCACATGACATCATATGACCACTCCTACAGGTGGTGGGCTCACAGGAAGGCAAACCCATGTTCATTTGGGCTCAACCCAACTYGACCCCATGGGTAGAGACCTAGTTACCAGGCGTTCACCAACGAGGCATCTCCCCCAGGCCTGGCTCCAGGGTGGGACCCCAGTAGCCTACAGCTGGGTAAGACACACTGAGCTCCATGATTTTATATGTCCATACCAGTGTTTTGACACTAACTTTGTCAAAAAAAAAAAGATTAATTTGTAGGGGATAAAATATATTTGTAGTTAGATGCCATCAAAAACTACTGCAAACACTCCCCAAATGAGATCTGACCCGCAACATGGCAGAGGGAGATGTTACAGCGATTACAGAAAGTTTGTATTTTTCCAGCTACTGAACCTGAACAGAGTAAATTTACTGCAAAATCTGTTCCTGTTAAATCTGCTGCTATCTGATTTAATACCAGTAAAATCTGTTTGATGTGTTTGTAAAGCTGAAGCCTGCAGCTCATGCAGACCTTTGCACAAGAACGTTGAGAAGGTTAAACACCCTGCCTGTGTGTCTATAAAGGTTGTATATTAACGCGGCGACAAGGAAAGGCTAGTTTATTGGAACTGAACTCAGGAAGTGTGAATCTGAGCAGCAGAACACACACATGCAGGGTTAGATTTGAACAAAGCGGACAGTTTTTTTCTTCTAAAACAAGCACGGATCATTTTTACCGTACCATGGACTCTGGTTTCAGGAACTCACAAATACACAAGCTGACCTGAGAGCTGAAAATGAGGCGAAGCAGCTGCTGGTTGGGTTTGTTCACGTTCGGGCTCCTCACGGTTCTGTGCCGAGGGTCCAGGCAGTGTGTGTCCGGGGTGATACTCAACGTGATCCTCCTCGAGGACGAGGAGTCTCCCTGGAGCCTGAAGTACGTCAAGAGAGAAATACTGGAGGCTATCCAGGAAGATGCTGCCATTAATGTTGCAGAAGGTAAAAACAACAAAACTCACATCTGTACCCAGTTTAAATGTACAGTTACCACTTTATGTTTTGATGTGTATTAGTTTAAAACAGTAAAAACTAAATCATAATAAAATCTATTTTATTTTTCAATCATTATTTTCAAATATAACATATTTATATTGATTTGTTATTTAAGAGAGGTTAGATTTTTTGTTCTTTTCTTATCGTCAACAGTTTGTTGAAAAGTTGTTGTTTTTTCGTAGGAATACAGGGTTCAAAATATGCAAATAAAATTCTTATTCTGAACAAATGTAATAATTATTGAAAAGTGAAAAAAAGTTGACATCCCTTGTAGATTTGCAAGGGAGGTTCCTGGCCAGAAACTAATGCTGTTTGGGGGACCATGGCATGGAAAAGTTTGGAAACCCCTGATTCAATCTGTCCAAAAATGGGAATTTAAAGACACATTCAAACTAGATCACATAAAACGAGCTCTGACAGGAAAAAGGAGGAGAGGAGAAATTAGTTGAGTGCTATAAATAATTTCATTACATTATAAATCATTTGTAATGCTGAACTTTATGCTGACATGACATGAATCTTCATATTTCTTGTTAAGAGACATGTGTACTCTACATCCTGAAAAATAAAGCTCATGATTACAATCCAAGTCCAATAAAGTTAGGACATTTTGTAAAACAAATTAAAAACAGAGTATCATTTTAAACCTATATTCAGTTCAATACTTTACAAAGACAAGACATTTAATCTTCAAACAGAAAAACTTCGTTGTTTTTGTTACTAATATTTGTCCAGATTTTCTGAATCTTTTGATAATTTTATGGACTGTATGATAAAATCTCTAAATTCCTTGCCATTGTACGATGAAAAARGTTGTTCTTAAACTGTTGAACCTCGACCTGTCCTTGCTTGTGAATGACTGAGACTTTCAAGGATGCTGCCTCTAATCATGACCCTCACCTGTTTTCAATTAACCTATTCACCTGTGCCCCAAACAGGTGTTTTTTGACCATTCCACAACTTTCCTAACCTTTTTTTTTTTTTGGAAAATGTTGCAGGCATCAAATTCAAAATGGGTGAATATTAAAAAAATTAGAAGTATAAGTAAGTAGAAATTTTGATCATTTACACTTTACTGGAGTATTTGTTTTTCCAGCTGATTTTTAACTTCTACTACCTTTTAAAAATATTTACATTTCACTTCAGCTTGTTTTCATTTCATCTTGTTAGAGTAAAAAAAAATTATCCTGCTGTATGTCACCTCCTGGACAGAGTGAATTTGATCGTGGTTGTGTGAGAAGTATAAATACACCTGCACAGGACAAGTCAAGTCACACTCCAGCAGAAAATATTAGATCTACGTAGCCAAGTATGAAGATGACCATAACAAATACAGCTGGTAAAATAAGTATTGAACACGTCACCATTTTCCCAGTAAATATATTACTAGAGGTGCTAATGACATGAAATTTTCACCAGATGTCGGTAACAACCCAAGTGATCCATACATACAAAGAAATCAAACCATAAATGTCCAGAAATGAAGTTATTTGTAATAATGTGGAATGGCACAGGGAAAAAGTATTGAACACATGAAGAAAGGGAGGTGTAAAAAGGCATGGAAAGCCAAGACACCAGCTGAACTCTCTCAGTAATTAGAAAGCAAGCCTGCCCCTTGTCAGTGCAAGTTAATATCAGCTGGTTCAGTCCCAAATGATGGCCAGGTATCACACAAGAACCATCTGATGATGGGTAAAAGTAAAGAGCTCTCTCAAGACCTTCACAACCTTATTGTWMCAAAGCATAATGATGGCATCGGTTACAGAAGAATGTCTAAACTTCTGAAGGTTCCAGTGAGCACTGTTGGGGCCATAATTCAGAAGTGGAAAGAACATTATTTCACCATAAACCGACCACGACCAGGTGCTCCTCACAAGATTTCTGACAGAGGAGTGAAAAGAATTATCAGAAGAGTTGTCCAAGAGCCAAGGACCACTTGTGGAGAGCTTCAGAAAGATCTGGAATTAGCAGGTACGATTGTTTCAAAGAAAACAATAATTAATGCACTGAACCACCATGGCCTGTATGCACGCTCACCACGCAAGACTCCACTGCTGAAGAAACAGCATGTTGAAGCTCCTTTAAAGTTTGCTGCACAACATTTAAACAAGCCTGTGTAATACTGGGAGAATATAGTCTGGTCAGATGAGACCAACATTGAACTGTTTGGATGCCAGAATACACATCATGTTTGGAGGTCAAATGGCACTGCACATCAGCCCAAAAACACCATACCAACAGTGAAGTTTGGAGGTGGGAACATCATGGTGTGGGGCTGTTTTTCAGCAAATGGTACTGGCAAACTTCAAACAATTGAATGGAAAAATGTACAGAGACATTCTTGATAAAAATCTGCTTCCATCTACCAGGATGATGAAGATGAAACATGGCTGGACATTTCAGCAAGACAATGAGCCCAAACACAAAGCCAAGGAAACTCTCAGTTGGTTTCAGAGAAAGAAACTAAAGCTGCTGGAATGGCCCAGCCAATCACCTGACCTGAATCCAACAGAAAATCTATGGAAAGAACTAAAGATCAGAGTTCATAGAAGAGGTCCACGAAACCTTCAAGATTTGAAGACTGTTTGTGTGGAAGAATGGGCCAAAATCACATCTGAGCAATGCATGCCACTAGTTTCTCCATACAGGAGGCGTCTTGAAGCTGTCATTGACAACAAAGGCTTTTGTACAAAGTATTAGATAAATTTCAGGAAGTGTGTTCAATACTTTTTCCCTGTGCCATTCCACATTATTACAAATAACTTCATTTCTGGACATTTATGGTTTGATTTCTTTGTATGTATGGATCACTTGGGTTGTTACCAACATCTGGTGAAAATTTCATGTCATTAGCARCTCTAGTAATATATTTACTGAGAAAAATGGTGACGTGTTCAATACTTATTTTACCCYCTGTATTTACGCAGCTGAAACATTACAATTTTTATTATATTTTATGGTCATTATGACCTTTAGAAAAAATGTTATCTGGGTAAGGTGGGTTAGGCACTAAAGACTCTGTGGAGTGGCCGATGATTTCATCCTTAATGGCTTTTTTCGCTTACATTACTTTTACTTTTATACTTTAAGTAGCTTTTAAACCAGTACTTTTACACGTTTACTTGAGTAAAAAAACTTTAATTGATACTTCTACTTCAAGCAGTCTTTTCAAAACCCAGGTATTCATATTTTTAAAAGACTTTTTAAAACTCTAATTCTGACAGATATTTTTTAAAATATAAATGTACTGTATGTAATTTCTGTGCTTACCAGCTGAAATGGGGACTCGGATCAGTTTTAAACACGTTCAGTCTTGTGTTTAAATCTGAAGAGACAATCAGAAGTAATAAAATAATCTCATTTTCATTGAAGGGATGGGATTTAACCTCACAGCCAACTTCGAAGGATTCAACACAACTATTTACAGACAAAAAGGTTGTGAGAGTAGCGTTTGTGAGGGAGTGGAGAAGCTGACCAAACTGATGGTAAGCTGTCTTTTTATATTTGTCTGCTAAAATATTTTTAGATAAAATGCATTAATTTGGAGTACTACAATAGCTTTCTGGTGCTTTACCTTTAATGTTATTTGCTTTTATTCTTTAGTTTTTGTCATGAGGTTTGAGCTGCTCCTCATCCATGCAGAAACTATTTTAAAATGTGCAGTTTCATTGTGATTACTGGGCTATGARTTACATTATTCAATGCAAATAAAAACTGCAATCCTTTGTTAAAGACATGATGACAGTTAAAGTTTTGTGATGTTTGTTCAAGTTATTGTGTGATGTCACACAKTAACTTCTGAGTGGTATAAACTTAACTTTAAACTTCCACAATCTTTACCAGTCTTCCAGTTTTAAACATTGAAACACAAGTTTGTCTACACAYTGTGACTCTCAGTGCTACAGGACGTATGGTTTTCTCTAATAACTCCCCGTGTATCTAAGCTCAGATTTTTTTCAGAACAGAAAAGTGTAGCYTTGTTGAATTATTTTGTTTTCACACAGCAACTTTTTAAGGCTTATTTTTTTATTTAGTATTTCCTTTTGTCTCATTGAAAGTGAAAGACACAGCTTTAATATTTTTTGTTATACTCCAGCACACATGTTATCCAAATTCTTCCACTTGGCTGTAATCCAAAGGCCTCAGAGGTTGTTGATAATGAACTGAGTGGTTCTGTGAAGCAGAATTAATGGGTCAGTAAAACATGTTCAGCCTAAAGCCAGAGTTTCAATGTCATAAAGAGAAAAGACTGGTGTAGTGTGACAATTTTTAACAGATACTTCTCCAAATGTGACTTTTGATTATTTAAAGAGGACAACATTTACTTGGTCAGAAATTGTTAATGTAGTCTCTCCTGGTGCTGCATAGATATCTTTACATATGTACTTTTTTGGTTATATTTTTCAGCCCATTCAGTTTTCTCTATTTTTTATGATGCTTTCTGAACTATTACATCACAGTATTTGCAACAGAACTGCCAAATAAGGTCTGGATTTACCATTTACAATCTGATGGTCATCATTCTTCTCTGGTTCTGGGTCAGCCTAAGACTGYATGGACACGTATTCCCTTGTTGACATATTTTAATTAATTTGTAAATAAAATGTTTCTGTGCTGCTATATAGTCGTAAAACCTTCTCTCAAACTAGAAAGAACTGGTCTAGAAGCTGGGG